GTGTGTGAGTGAGACAGAAAGAGAGAGCGCGAGAGAGATAAATGTAAAACAAACAAAAAACGGTTTATGTCAGTAGTTTAAAATGTCTTGCATTTTTACAAAATATCAGTTATCAGATCGGCATTGGCCAATATGGTTGGTTAATAATCACTATTGGCCAAGAAAATCTTTATCAGTGCACCCCTAATGTTAATAAGGTTGTAGCCAAACCCTACCTGGGAAGTACCCTCTTGTACTTTCAATAAGGTACACTTACATTTTCTGTTCTAGCTGTTTACTACTAAATGGCAACCACTTTCGCTCAAGGAAGTAGCTATATTTCAGAGACTGGAAAGAGTTCTGCTGGCTAAATTCATATAGAAACCTGAATTTTTGGATAAAAATGTCAGACACTATTATTATGTATTTGATTAACAGTATTTTGCCCATAAAATATAAGCAAGTCTGAAGATGTGTTTTAGTGATGTTTTACAGCCTAAGGGCTCCTCAGAGGTATGCAAAAAAAATCTTTGGATGACTGGTGAAACTGACTGCACCAAGCACATGCTTTTACTTTTAATGTAATAAATTTGGTCTGAAGAGAAACAAGAGAAGCAACATCATCAGCTGGAGTCAACACGGTTCAATTTCCCCCCTCCCTTAAACAGATTTACCTGTAAGAAAATTGCTTCCATTAAATATATAAAACAAACCTCAAAAAATAATTTCATATCCACATTACTCACAACAAGCTCCACTCTCCCTTCTTCATCAGCCTGATCTTCTATGACTGTAGCATCGAAGCCCAAATTCTGGATTAGCTGTGCTATTTCAAGAGGCTGTATGCTCTCTGGCTTGTATTTTATCTCTGCTTTACCTGCCATCAAAGCTACAAGCACTGAAACAATACCTGCAATGGCAATAGTGCCATTATATTAGACACTGTCTTTCTTTTCCTTTGAAGACTATATAATACAAGAGATAATCAACATGTGCCACAGTGGAGAAATTAGGGAACCTTTAATGGTTTTAAAATTTTCCTCACTCCTTCCCTTCAGGGTTATTCCTTGAGCATAATTGTCAAGAAAGAACAAAAGCTTCTGTTTCTATTTCACTTAATACAAGTAGTTTTCTTTTAGAGAGATTTAATTCCCATTAGAATGCCTTGAACAGAAGAATCAGACTGGGATCCCAGTGGGTGAGATGTCAATAGGTTTTGAATCAGGCCCTGTAAGTCTGGAAAGCTTCTAGCATGAGAAGAGAAGAGAATCTGCAATTCAGTGTAGAGTCACAAAGCAAAGAAATGCAGCAAAGATAGAGTATTTGATACTTGTGAATTATTAATAGAAATGTTATAACTTTTTCTCCAGCGTTAGAGTTGGGAGCTGAAAAATTAGTAAGCAAAGGCCTCCGAAAAGTTAAAGGTCTCTCGAAAGTCTGTTTTAGCACTCTCACAGTATTGGGGTAGAATTGATGCATGTATTCATAAGAATTTTAAAAGACTCATAAGAGCACAAGTAGCTCTAAGGTAGGCTGAATGAGAGCTTTATTACAGCTGTGACCATATTAAAGTAATATCAAATTCCAGGAATTTGTACAGACATCAGGTATACTTGTCAACTGGCAAGCTCACCAGTAGATTTCGTATAGCAGCATTCTGTTCATCCTAATTAGGAACTACCTAAATATGTAAGAAAGACTATTAATTACATTTAACCTCAAGAACACACTTTGCATATTAGTTGTGCCTTACATTTACAACATAGTGGACCCTTCACATTCAGAAGGGGCCAAAAATCCCTTACAAGCTCTCTGTAGGAATGCCAAACATCTCACCATCTTCCTTTTGTAGATGTCTTTCAATGGTTGATACACATGATGCACAAGTCATGCCCGCGATCTGCATAAAGCACTTCTCAGTTGTCAGTATACTGGGCCGTTTTGGAGCCTCTAGGAAAGAGATCTTTGGTGGAGTATTTGAGACATAACTTCGATGAGAGGGTTCAGGAATATTTCCCACTCTTTGGCAAGTTGACTCCAGAGCTTTATGTTGTATTTCAGCAGGCTCAGAAATAGTTGGATCATTGCAGTTTCTTGTAGCGGTCTCTTGAGAAAAAACACCCCATGAACAGAATGAACATGGTTTATGGCATGATAAAATGTTTCAAAGCAACAAAACATGGTCAGTGACCGAACCGTGCACAGCTTTCTACAAGTCAGGAGCACTACACTGTGGTCTTGGCTTTTAGCAAAAGTAATCCAGACTTACCTTGTGTTGTGCCTGCAGTGCTACAAGACTATTTTGCTTTATTCAGCACTCCAGCTTTAAAGACCAAAATTCCCTCCTAACTGTATACATACTACTATCTGTAGCTAGGTCCTCTTAAAAACAAGACTATTTGAGGGGGACTTCACAGCAATTAAATCACTAAGGAGAATGCAGCCTAATTAGCTGTCCTGATCTCCTTTCCTAAAAGGCTTCTTCTCAGCAACTGATCACTATGACAGCAGCAAGTGATACATCTCTCCATAAACTGTGAAGCAAACAATGATGTAGAACGATATAGGCGCAGAGAACTCACTTCACTCCACACTGTAGTATTTAGATCTCTCAGGATGAGGCACCATCTAATCAGTTGTTCCTCGTCGGGCACTGTGCAGTAGACTAGTAGGTCACCCAACAAAGAAACCCAAGCCCCAGGCAGATCCACAAACAACCTCTTTTTCACAAACTATTCTTCCTCCCCCACTTTCTAGGAGTGATCTAACCACTAGGCTCAGATGTAAGTGACAAGTGATGCCCCATCTCTTCCTTCTTCTGTTATGTTGTATTGAACAATACTTGAGAAGAAGCTTTGCTCAGTTTATAAAAGGGTTGTATGTACCGACCCTCAGAAGAGGATTCATGACTATTGATCCCTTGCAGACTGAAGCAGCATTTCCTCTCTCAGGTGCTAAGTGTGCCTATGCACTGTGTAAGGAATCTCAGTACCCAGCATGGGGTTTCAGATTCTACTCCAGAGATTTAAAAATGTAGCTGCTGTAGCATTTATTGGCTCACTCGCTCTCAATTGCTTTAAGAGCTATGTATGCTCCTCTTTACAAATCCAGCTATTCAAAATGCTGGCATCAGCATTTAGAAGTTTTGTGTTCAAAGTATTTTGGGGGGCTTAGCCAAAGCTGGTGAAGGTTCAAAAATCAACACTTCCTTCATTGTGGCCTAGTCAGATCAAGATGCCCATTAGGATCAGGATGAGAAATGTCCAGTGGTGTCATATGGGATCCTGAGGTTTCAGAAGAGGGTGGGTGCAGGTAGCTTAAAAAAACTGTGGTGCTAAAAGTTGCTTCTTGCTGTTCACTCATCCCTAGTCCCTACTTTGTCTCACCCCCCCCAACCCCCCTCCCACCAAAAACAGCATCCCAAGAGATCAGAAGCCTCCTCCTGTTAACTTTAAACTGAAATGCTTTTCAGCAGTTTCAGCTATAAACATTTCCTGCCATTTGTAGAATCATCCAGTTTACTGTACTTGCAGGCCAACCTGGGTCTTCACCAGTCCCCTCAGCATAGTTCTTTTAACAAATAGCTTCATTTGTACCAGATATTTGCCCATGAGTTTTGCTGACTCACTTGACTTTGCATAACAAGCTAAGTTGGACTTTTGTTACTCTGCACAACCTGAAGTGCCAGCCTTTGCACAATACCCCACCACAGTTCTCACCACTGCTCCTAATTTTCCATAGCATGTGCCTTATGCACAATCATTTTCACTTGTGCAAAGTGGCCCTGAAAATCTGCTATTCTTATTTGTTTTACAAAGGTGGAAATGGCTTTATACAGGGAGCAATATAGAGAAGGGAGCCCTCTAGAGCGCGGAGAAGGGAAAATCTATTTCAAGAAGCCCTGACAGTGGCAAAACCCCCATTAAGGTTAAGTGGCCAGGGTCTCACCCTTTATTTGATCTAAAATGATGTATCCCAAAGCATTATGCAGAGCTCAGCTTTAGTAATGCTTTATACAGTTTTCCCCAATGTGTCTGATTGACAAGTTTCTTTATGTTTTTATGGTACCACTGTAATTTGCAGTGACCATGATGAAAACTAGAATTATACACTGACTTCAGGGAGGCACCATCTCTGGCTATATTTACAATTCTAATGGCAAAGAATTAAATAAGGTAATATACAGTGTTGTTACATTAGAATTCAATCTTAAATAACCATATGTTTTAAAAGTAACGTAAGTAGGATTTGTTTAAAAAATACCCTAGGTAGTATACAATTCCATACTTATGCAGGCAGACAATATTGGTGGAGATCAACGTTTCCAATGTCAAAATGCCACAAGGCAATTACAGCTGCTAGCTGTAAAACAAGTAGTATTTTTTAAAATACATAATTAAGCACAATAGATCAAGTCATCGTCATCTATAAGTAGTCCCAGTGGCTTCAGCAGGTTTACTCCCCTGAGAAAGATTACCACGATTTGGCCTCATGTATTAAAGCTGTTCAACTCCAGGTGAACTGAAGCCTGCATCAGTAGCTCAAAACAAAACTGTTTTGAGTTGAAGTAGATAACTAACCCTGCTCCTAAAAAAACCCCACCAAAATAAATGGGATCGGCTCCATAGCAACATCTAAACCATTAAACCCATGAACAAAGTGTACTGACAGCACTGCACTTGACTTACACAAATGCAGAGAATGTTACTACCCCAGCTGAAATCAATAGGCATTTTGGCACTAAACTCACGAGCAGCAGGATACAGGCCCTTTGTACAACAGCTTAAAAGTTGAGGGACCAGAGATACAGCAGGATATTCCAGTTAGGGAAATGTTTGCTTTTCATTTAAAGATATTTTATTAATATTTTACATTTTAAAATTCCTAGGGAAAAACAAGCAAGTTTGGTTTAGATTTGTATCTGTACCAGGCTATAGGAATAAGAGAAGAAAACTTCATTGAAGAAGTTCAGAGATTGCCTGCTATTTTTAAAAAAAATCACTATAGTACTTGTCAGGCTTTTCACTGCATATCGTAACTTTTCCCAACTGTTTTCCCAACAGCAGTCACATTCTGTGTGAAATTTATGGTCTGCAATATGCAAGCTGTACTAGACCATAACTTTTTTTTCTGGCCTTAAAAAAAGTCCTATCTTTTTACTCTCTCTCTCTCGAGATGCTAATAGGATACCACCTGACCTAGCTTACATTACTAAAAGAAAATTTGCACAGTACCTGTTAGAATAGAAGCATCAAATCCCATGTCTTCTATAGCAGTTCTTAGCTCTTCAGAACTAGTTACAGTTGAATCATACTGTATGGTCCCCGTCCTTTCAGCTAAAGAAACTGATACTTGTTGTACTCCTTTCCTTTGGGATATCGTGCCTTCAATAGACTGTACACAGGAACTGCAGCTCATTCCACCAATGCCAATTACAGTTGTGATAGGCAGTTGATCTCCAAAGCACTTGCTGAGAAAACAATGGGATGAAGATGCTGCCTTTGATAAAAGCTCTCCATTGTTTGCTTCTGCTCCATTAAGGAAGGATACTCTAAAGTTACCAGGCGGAAGGGTTTCAATGGATTGTTGTAAAGATGATAAGGTAATTAAGTTAGGGTTAAACTGTACAACAGCATTTTTATGCTCCAGTGACACTTTAATACATTGTAGGCCTGGAAACTTTGATATATTTCCTTCAATATTTTTGATGCAAGATGTGCAATGGATGCCTTCTATCCCTAGAGTCACAGTTGCCGTATTATTCATCTTGTCCACCAACGGATCCACATAACCACTGTTAAGGCCAGCTGCAACCTTCTGTAAGCCTTCTAAATCAATCCTACCAAGCGTTAGTGGGGCTAATTTGGTCTTAATAGTGCTTTCATACCCCAGGTTATTTATGTGCTTCTTAAGGTCTTCAGGTTGAACAATGAAAGGCTGATAAAGAATGACTGCTTCTTGATTACTCAGGGAGACTTTTATTCTTGTCACACCATGTAGTTTCCCAACTGTACCTTCAATGGTATTGACACAAGACTGGCAGGTCATGCCTTCTACCCGAAACTTAACTACAGCTTCTGCTATAGACGTTGTTGATCTTAAAGATGATGGGATAGATTTTCCTTCTGCTATGCAGGCATCAAAACCCATGTCCTCAATTTCCTGGCAAATCTGTATGGGACTTATTTCTGACCGTATGTATTTAAGCACAGCATTGCTGCGCTCAAGAGAGACCTTAATACTCACAATGCCCTTCACCTTGGAAATTCTGCCCTCTACAGAGTGCACACAAGATTGGCACGTCATACCCAGAATGTTGACTGTAACGATGTCCATTTGAGATGACCCAGAGGACAGGTTTTCAGAGTTCCCTTCATAGCCAATGTTGTCAAAGGCAAAATTCTGCTTCATTGTTGGCTTCCGTACACAACTTGCAGGGGTACTAGTCTTAGGCAAAGCCTGAAATGCAAGACAAACACATACAAATTATGGACCTTTTGAGTTCTCACACAACAGTATTATAGAGCTCAAAGCATTTCAAAGATAAGGGATGCCATCGAAATACATAACATCAAATGCTATCAATAACTGGAGCTGGAGCTGACTATCTAACCCTCAGCTATTTCTCCTGAACGTGCCGACTTTAATACCTAGAAATCCTCAACATGATTATTTAAAATTAAAGCCCTCAGCACACTCCCCCGGAGGTATAGCTCTGCTCTTTGCAGTATTTCTTCACCTTCTCAGTGGTTTACACCACAGAGCATTCTGAAAAATGATTAGGCCTCTGCCAATACTGGTGAGCTCCAGTTAGCCTATGCCAGGGGTGTCAAACTCATTTAACCCTGCAAACCAGATGAATGGTAAGGAGCCACTCCACAGGCTGGATCAGACCCATGGCTCCCCCTCCATCCCAGCATGCTAGAGCGGGCACTGCACTATATGCAGCACCTGTTCCAGGATCTGTGATGCTGATCCACTCATAGATTTCATAGATTTCATAGATTAAGGGTCGGAAGGGACCTAGTAGATCTTCTAGCCCGACCCCCCGCCAGGGCGGGAGAACAACAAAAAACCCCAAAAAGAGAAACGGGACTCAAA